CACAAAGCAGTGTCAGGGTATATAAATTTGCCAAACACGAAAAACATTTCACATAGGTGAAGCGGGTAACACCATTGGACAACGAAGATAGAAGACACAAAAATCCTCAGGATATGACAGAACGATGAAGGAAAACAGAATATTACTAGTGATCAGGTAGAATAAGGAAAGAAAACCAAAGAACCCAGTGCTGACAAGGTGCAATTCGAAAAAATTATACTACACAACATTTTCTAATTACCCATACGTCGTCGCATGGGGTGAATTCGATCAAAGAAATGTTGTATATCTGTGCATTCGACTTGTTAGTCGCTACATGCGATTAAACGATAACGACACGAATCAAAAAGGTATCAAACCGACCTTTAAAATTAACGATAACCGCGGTACTATCAAACATGTCGTTGTAATTGGACCGATATAACATTATAATGCAATTGTTTCATTTTTATCTGGAAATGAACTGAGTTTGGTAAAAAAAGTTTTATGCAATTTCAAGCATGATTTTACCGTTTATAAAATTTGTAGTGTAGATTGGTATATTATATCATATTCATCAGCCGTTATCAATTCACTGCTGGATAAATGCCTCTCCAAGACATTGCCATAAACTTCTGCTTTCTGTTTTCTGTGATTAACATGCAGGGATAAATGCAAATACAATACTTTTATTAGGTATGTCTGTACATAGCTAGCTTGAAATAGATGAAGATTTAAACCATGCCTTCCTTGGATCTTTTCCCGTCATATGAATATCAGATTAGTAGGAACTACTGTCATGTACCTAATTATGGCCAAGTTATAGCAAATACTTTTCGAGTAACGATTTATAGTTCCCTTTGTTGTTAATCAGTACACTAAATATCTATATTACAGTAAATATTATGTAAAATTACTCTTTACGTAACCTAAATTTCAACAATGAAATCTTATATTCCACCTACATGTGTTGCAACCCAATAATGGATCAGGAACTTCTGGGCTAAATGTTCGAAGACATTAGACAGAGTGTTCAAAGTTATAACAGAAGAAAACAGCCAGCAACAATTTACCGGGATTGATGATCTCGAGAAAACGCGGGCCTTTGATCGAGTTTTCGAGGAGAAAAAGTTCTTGCCTGAAATCAGCAACAAAAATACCAACATGCACATAGTTATCGTCTTACGCCGTGGAGGAATATCCGTATATTTTGCTGAAAGTTCGCCCAACAGTTTCTGGTGGAAGAGCCGAATTAGAAAACTATAACAAGGTTTTTGAAAAGCGAGTGATTTGCAAGGGCTTACTGGATAGCGCAGCTCTAGATATTCGCCTTCTAAGGGTTTATCCTTTTCGCGACGCCAGAACCTTTTTTCCACCTTCTAAATCTAATCTTGGAATTTAGCAAGTGAAAATTGCGTAGCTCACCTTAACGCGAAATTCACGGATACGCTGCCGATCCATCAACTGACAAATTTCGTCGTAGACCTGCTGAAAAGTAACCAAACTACCAGTGGCTTGATCCTGAAAATCGACGCTATAAACTGCAAATCAGAAGTCATTGAAAATCATCGAGAAACAGCCTAAAAATAAGTTAGCGCTTGTCCTTAAGTGGTCGTTACGATGGCAGACAAGAACGTGTTTCAAAATTTTAGATGTTTCATTTCGAGGAGTCATTTACTATAAACTACAAGCAACTAAAAGCCATCAGTCACCTCTAAAAAACAGTATTCACTGTAAGCCGTGAACAGCAATGACTCACCAACAATTATTCTGTAAAAGAGGCGTTGATAATCAAACGGTAGATGAAGTTTACAGTGCATGTAGATAACAATCTAGGAACTAAAGAGATAACAGGTCATTAGAATCTTCCTGTCCGGACAAAAAGTTTTATCAGATTTGAAATGTGTTGATTTTTTACAGAAACCATGCTCTTCTGCAATTTACAAAACCAAAGCAATAAAGCGGTCTGACTTTCTGAAGAAATATTTATTACTCAACTGAATCGAGAGCTCGAATTTAGTGACCACTAGACATGCAGATCCTACGTAGAAGCAAAATGAAAGAAAACGAATGAAGTCAGTCTTCCGCATCTTTAAATAACCGTGGCTCGCTCGAATATCTAATTTTCATCTTTCAACGTGAGGAAAATCAACATTACTGCCATGAAAAGAAGTGTGAAGTTGAATACAGCGATATTATCTCAATAAATTAAGGTACTTTAGAACGAAGATCAACGCTGCAACAAACGTTTCATAAAACGGTGTCTCAAACGACAAAGGGCATGAAACTCTAAAGATCACTAGCTCAGCAGACAAACTTTATTTGTCTTTAAGTTCAAATCACGCGTTTATGGCAAATATTTGTCTACAAGTAACTATTGCAAAACTGTACATATAAAAAGTGTCGTAGTTTTGCGCTATCAGCTCGAAACAGTGAGCATCTCGATAGCTGCGCCATCGAAAAACAGTTCTGAACGACGGTAGAATTTTACTAATCTGGAGACAGAAGGATAGTTAAAACAGAAACCATCTGAACCGGCTGACATAACTTAAAAAATACCTGATATGGAAACAACCAGTGGCTTCAACAGATGGCTCAAAGAACCATAACCAACAGACTGGAACTTCACGACGCTCCACAATAAAGTTCAAATAGTTCTCGGCCCCACAAACGAACTCCAGGGTACGGACGTCACTCATTAGACAGAAATTATGTTAAACCGGGTTTGGACTCAACAAACAGCCACAGTCATCGCTAAACGGCTGGAAGATGAAGTCAAGTTAGAAATTTAAATCCGGTCATGGCGAAGAGTCCATATAAAATTATTTCCATATTTTGCTGAGTAAGTTCTATGGTGAGATTAGTAATATCAGGGATATCAGCTGAAGGCTATTAGCTAGCTCAGTAACCTGAATATTTTGATTTAGCATTGTCAATCACATCCAGCCAAGACGACAAAAGAAGAGGGAGCTCATAAAACCGTTTTTCTCATGTGCCCTCTTCTCCTCCTCAAGGCAATTGCAATCGGCAAAAGCCCGCCGCACAGGCAGTCGAACAAACTTGTCGATCGCCACGTAGCAGATCAGGAATAGAAAGCAAATGGTGCCTTTCACGATTAACGTTTGATTTAAATTCTGCTAGTCATGAAAGAAGTCGTTCGCGAATCCATATGCGAAAAGCTAGAAGATTACTTGCCTTTCACTTACAGTGCTCATCATTCATATTCGCAGAGGGCCATAACCTTCAACAGTCAAATCTCAGCGTATTGTCGTGGAAATCAAGCACGCAAGGACGGCATCGCATGAGAGAGCGAAATACGGGGCGCCATAATCTCTCAGGTATTACCGTAATTATGAAGGCTTGACATGAAATAACTGGCTAACCAGGCAATGGTAATAACGGCTCGACATAGCCTTTTACGCTTTTAAAGCAGTTCTGTATATGTAAAAGATACTCAAATTAATAACACGGATGAGAAAACTTATATAATACACGCCTAAGGATGGAGGTATATCCGCTGGTATTCCAACAAATTTTGTATGACTTAACAAAATGGTGCTGTTTTGTGCGTATGCAGCGCATGTATTAAAATATCATGCAGTCGTGGACGGCCATAAGTTCCCTAGGCTATCAGTGGAAAGGAAACGGTGCGTTCACGCCGTATGAACCTGGAAAAATGAGACGAGTTTGTTATTCTTACTAGCGGAGTCGAAAACAACCAGTCTGTAAGTAAACCCACAAAACCGAGATTAATTTTCATAAATCTATTCAGTCAGTCAGTGAAACTTACCTAAGTGAACCATAAGGCCCATGTTACATTCATTGCATCGTCTCTCTACGAAGGGAGGATGACGACTAATGAGAATTGTAACAGTGGTTAGAACGGTAAATGCTAGACTGCTAGTAGAAAAAGGAGAGAAAATAACGGTCTAGTGTCAATTCACAGACCATATTATACTTGCAACAACGTGTCACAAAGATTTACAATGACGTCATCATTCTTTGGACGGAAGAACACTTCTGCTATGTTGTTAAAGGCGACACAGTCAAAGCACAGGACTGAGATACTCATTTTCATGTGCTTTGATAACGCGCGGTGACCCGATGAAATACATATTAACTACGCTTAAAGCAGTGAAACCCAAACTACGAAGCATATTGGATTTATAGATTCGCAC